AGAGTCAGAGAGAGAGAGAGAGAGAGAGTGTGTAAGAGATAGTGAGAGAAAGTTGGAGTTGGAGACACAGATAGAGAGAGACAGAATGTGGGAGCGAAAGAGAGAGAGAGAGAGAGAGAGAGTGGGAAAGAGGGGTGAGAGAAAGTTGGAGTTGGAAAAACCGATAAAGAGAGAAAGAATGTGGGAGTGACAAAGAGAGAGAGAGAGAGAGAGAGAGAGGGAGTGGGAAAGAGGGGTGATAGAAAGCTGGAGTTGGAGATACAGATAAAGAGAGACAGAAGGTTGAAGCGAGAGAGAGAGAGAGAGAGAGAGTGGGAAAGAGGGGTGATAGACAGTTGGAGTTGGAAAAACCGATAAAGAGAGAAAGAATGTGGGAGTGACAAAGAGAGAGAGAGAGAGAGAGAGAGAGAGAGAGGGAGTTTTGGATAGAGGGGTGAAAGAACGTGGGAGTTGGAGACACAGACAAAGAGAGACAGAATGTGGGAGCAACAGAGAGAGAGAGAGAGAGGGAGAGAGGTAACATTTTTTTCTTGATATTTTACTTTAAAAACAAAAATCTATATTCTAATGTTTAATTACCTTATTTTTAAATGAATATGGTAATGTTTCTTTTATTCTCTTGGTAAATTACGAAAGTCAACAAGATTACTCTAAAGTAATTTTAAAAGGTCATAGGTAATAAGGCAGGTGGAAATTCTGTGATACATACGTCGAATTCCAGTTTGATGATATAGGGATACATAATCAATTTAGAGAATTCGGCAAATGGAAGGTTAAATTGCATTTTGTGAATGACAGCCGATGGCTGAATTGCTCACAATAGTTTACAGAATTTCCAGCATTCGGCGAAATTTCGGAGTTCAATGCACAAATGAATGTATATTATTTGTCGACCAGCTGTCGACCTTTTCCCAACCAAATATCGTCCGGAAGACCTGTCGGTGATAACTCGCCAATCGATGCCGGAGTGTAAACCTCTAGCCAATCAAAAACGCTCCATCTGGAGACCAATCATCGACCCCTTATAACCTTTGACATCTTAACAACTGTCAAAACCTCTTAGCGACCTCTGACAACTCACTTCCGGTCGCGTCATTTTTTCTCTGCGGCACAGATTGGGGCTTTTTTCTTAAAAAGAGGTCTTAGTTTAACCCTAACCCTAACCGTAACTCTAACCCTAACCCTAAAATTTCCCATAGGCTCAACACGCACCTAACCGTAACCTAAACCTAACCCTAAAATTTCCCATAGGCTGAACACGCACATAACCCCAATCTGTGTCGCCCCAAAAAATAAAGCCTCCCGGTCGAAACTCCAGTGTAAATTTTACCAAGACTTAATATGGGTTGGTTGGTTGGTTGGTTCGTCTCCATCTGGAGACCAATCTCCGACCACTTATAACCTTTGACATCTTAAAAACTGTCAAAACCTCTTAGCGACCTCTGACAACTCACTTCCGGTCGCGTCATTTTTTTTCTGCGGCACAGATTGGGGATTTTCTTTTAAAAGAGGTCTTAATTTAACCCTAACCCCAACCCTAACCCTAAAATTTCCCATAGGCTCAACACGCACCTAACCGTAACCTAAACCTAACCCTAAAATTTCCCATAGTCTGAACACGCACCTAACCCCAATCTGTGTCGCCCAAAAAAATAACGCCTCCCGGTCGAAACTCCAGTGTAACTTAGTCTTTACCAAGACTTAATGTGGGTTGGTTGGTTGGTTGGTTGTTGTTTTTTACGATCATAAACTATAAAATACAAATATTATTACACATAAAGAAACAAAACACTAAAACATTTTACATGAACTATTCTAGGAAAACAAAATGTAACATGAGATCTACCGCCAATTTTTCTTATCTATTCATCCTCAGGGTCCAAAAATAGCTTCAATAAATTGATTAATTAATAATAATAGTAATAATAATATGAACTAAGAGAAACAGAGTGCGTTAATATTAATGTTTATTGATATTGAGTTTTACTTAAATGGTTTCATATTTTACATGCAGATGCACTACAGATAACACATATACACAAAAGACATATTGTTTCATAATTAAAAAAAACGATTATAGTAATTAACAAATTAATCAAACTACAAATTATATATCATCAAACATGTTTGACAACTATTAGTATGCTAAAGGAAACCCAGACAAGAAAAGTACCTTATTGTGAAATGTGCCGGAAGCTTTCGAAAAGCATAGCTTGTAAAGAATAGGTTCCTGAGAGACGTGGAAAAAATGACCGGAACAGAATATATTTACTTTAGAGAGACGTACATAATCAAATGTAAAAGGGCGGTAATTTGACCAATACTTGTATACTAGTCCAATATAATTTGGGACAAATACAGAAAGAAAAGAGAACGAAACAACAATACACTGAAAGGAAAAGGAGTAACGAGCCAAAAAATAGCAGAATATTCACCTTTTTCCACCATATGTTTCCACCACCTGAACGTTTAATAAACCAAACACGGGAAGGCATTACCATCTTAACAACGATATATTCCAAGTAACTACAGCACCCCCTTCAATCTCGTGTATTAAATAAGAAGAACTTAAATGAAGAACAGCCACTAGTACAGACATACTTAAATGTGTCCATAACAAAGCGTGAAACTTATTATTCTGCCTCAATTATGCATATTAATTATTACATACTTAATCAAAAAGTATTTTTCCTTCAACTGAATGATTTGCATACGGGACCGAGGAAGGGTATGATTTAATTACATAGTGGTGACAATTATCAAAGCTCAATCAGGTGGTGGAAAATGTGTTTGTTATACTTTAATTAATTCATGCATATATATTTTAGCATTTATATTAACAGTATTAGAACTTCAATATTTCAAACAATTTAGCTTCGGGTAAGTTTAAGCATTAGACTTCAAGAATATACGATTACAAAATTGCACAATTGAACTTGATATTTATCGAATTTATACAAATAGAGGCTCACATAATAATTTATCCGATATTAATTTGATTAATGTATGAGCCCAATGGTAATGCAAACCAGTGCCCTGTCTTATAAACATTTGCGATTAATCGGAACTTATTTGCGATTGATATCAATCGCGGCTTTGTACATAAGAAATAGGAGACAGCAAATTTGCGACTGATTTGCTTTTATCGACCTTCGTATTAAGGCACTTGACACCGTTGATCACAATCTTTTATTAAGAAAATTGACTGCAATTGGACGTTCTCATGAATGTGTGAAATGGTTTAGATACTTTTTAATGGTATGGGTTAGTCAAAACCGCCTTGTACCAAACACATTGAAAAAAACAAACATGCGTCGTGGTCATAGCTTCGCGTGTAAATTTAAACAAAATAACAACCTTCAACCTTTCTATAAATGGAAAGGTACTAAAAAGAGTTAACATCGTCAAATGTCTTGGTATAATAATTGATGAATAATCTAATTGGACGAAGCTTGTTGAAAAAGTAACAAAAGTAACGCAATGAAATATCAGTGTAGTAAAACGGGCTAAAGACAATTGACCAATAACATCTTTAAAGTTGCTGTATAATGCACTCGTATGGACTTACTTTGATTATTTTTCCTCATCAGTATCAGGAACAAACGGATAAACTCAAGACAGTTAAAAAAAACGGGCTGCTAGAATAATTTCAAACAAAAGTTATTACACTACATAACGTTAATTAATTAGCAATCTGAAATGAATGCAAAATGAGAAACGTTTTGAAATTTAGCGTGTAAATATGACGTACAAATCCACACATAATTTGGCGCCATCTTATTTACAAAAAAAGTTTAATTAAATTAAGTGACATTCATCAGTATAATACGTGGCAAGCAGATGGTTCACTTTATGTGCCAAAGTATATAACAGAATGCTTAAAACTAAGCCCTCGTATCTTCAATTATAGCATGGAATCAGTTGGACAGATCATTGAGAATGGCAAGATCTGTGAACACTTTAAATACATGTTCAAAAAATCTTGCAAGACCGATTCCCAATAAGATGAAATGACGAGAGGAATTTTGTTTCGTGTCTTAACAAAAGTTTCACTTTCATTCCTTTTAGCTTTCCAGCACATTTTCTTGTTTAAATCAAACGATTTGTTAATGATGCGCTTGCAGAACAACATGATAAAATATGGTATTCATGTCACACATCCTCACGGCTAAGAAAATTTCACTTGATGCTTTTTATTTTTTGACTTTGTCAAGGATATGACATTTGCAATTTGTCCTGCTTGCACAAAATGCTTGATTGTCTGTTTCTGAGAACTAAATGTAGGACGACATAATTCTTTTCAAACTGAAAGAATGATTTCATACAATTTATTATCAGTTATAAATATATTACTATTTTTACTTTTTATTTAAGAGTGTACATTCGATTGCTATATTGCTATACTAGATTACATACATCAATTTTGCATATTATTCAGTAATTTACTATCCTGTTTTTATGTTGTTGTTGTAGATATGTATATAGCAATTTTGGTATCACTAATGACTTTCTTAACTGAGCCGAAGTAGTTTCTATACTTTGTTTATGAACTCTCAAAAGTACATGTTGCCTTTTTTAAAGTCTAATACATACCGAAATATGGTAATATTTACTTTTCATCGGATTTGAAAATTAATTGCCGTCTATACTGTAATTTTGATTGAAAATGTTATAAATATGCAGCAACGTTTTCTTGAACAAGAAAGCAAAGCAAATTAAAGCAAGCAAACCATTCTTTCTTTACGAGAAAACCAAATTGACACATGTTCCTACTTCTTGGTTGTTGCTGTTATGAGTTTATGTTCATGGTTTTGTTATTAATATTATTATTGTACATATATGTTTTTTAGTAACTATTGTTTTTTAATATTTATTTATTTATTTATATATTTATTACTGATATGTATACAGGGTGGCAATTTGGTGGTCTTCCATGAGGCCCTGTTTGGTAATAATAAAAAATCAAATAACAGCATCAAAAACAAAATAGATAAATACACAAGCATATAAACAGGTAAAATACAAATTAATTGGTATCCCATTGAAATAACTGATCATTCAAGAATCATCCCTGATTATTTACAAGAAATAGGTGAATGAAATTTTCAAATTAAATACAATTTTTAAAAACGTTCATTTAATAATCTGATATAGCTGAACGCACGGGATACCAAAATTGTTATATACATATTTACATTCAATTGCTCTTTAACTAATACACTTAGATTGTTTAACATGGCCTCACGAAAGACCACCATTGTTAGTGATATCAGAAATAAATTAACTCTTTATAAGACGGGGCCGAGAGTTCTATTTTTCAAATCTTCTTCAAAACTTTTCCAAGCATTCTCCATTTTCTGCGGTGATAACTCAATCTTTAAAAAACCCTGCTTTTTCTTTTGCGGGTGGCGGTTTTTAAACCATTGAACGATTTCAACGATTCTGATGCTCAACTTGTCCAAGAGTATACCGCAATATACATCGTCAAACGGCGTCGTTGCTGGGATTTCTTTGGATATCAGATAGAGTTTTTCGACTACGTGATGTGACATAACATACCCAGGCCCTAATGGATATGGAGGGTACTTCTTAGCTGGGTAGAAGTTCTTTGGTATGTACCATTTACTCTCCACGTCACGAAACGGTTTAGCCCCTTCTACCTTAGATCCAAGCACGAATTGAAAGTGATCCTTTGGAGGTAAAGCGTCGAGGTCATTGACCAGGGTCACGATATCAACCATGACATCGTCATCCATTGACATCAAGAATTCACTGTTGTTGCAAAATTGCAAGGCCCATTTAAACCCCATGACCAGTTTGATGTTGAGATTGTAATAACCGTCGTGGAAGCCCACCTTCAGGATATCTCTGTGTCTTCGGGCCTCTTCCTGAATGTTTTTCCTCTCGTCTTGTGCTTTGGAATCTCCCACGATAAAAAGCAACCTTGTGGACACATTAAATTTCGCGGCCCCACTGATGTACGTCCGTCTGGCAGCATCCCTGCGTTCAGTATTACGTGGTGCTGATTTGATTAAGACAAGTAATGTGATATTCTCTTTTCGAGCGTTGCACTTATCGACAGGATTGATTAAAAAGTCATATATATCTAGCTCATCTCCTGGCACCCAGGATACATTTTTCTGCCATCCGCGCAACGGAACCGGAGTGGGTTTCTGTTCGGGTGGTGTTTGTGTCGTGACATTATATCTCACAGTGTTGACATTTCTTTTTGCCACATTTGAAAAATCAGCTCTTTGTAGTAGTAATCTTCCTTTGATGACTGTTTGTAATCCATAAGAAGTGGAGCAGTTATGGTACATGATAACACATGCAATAGCAATGCAGAACGCAAACATCATAAGCTGCACCTTTATATTTCTCATCGTGTTAACTGGTTAATTCCACTCATAAGAAGAGTACGGTCGATTAATATGCTGGGTAATTAGTGATAATTGTATTTTCAGAGAGATCCAGTCTTCATGTCTAACTGCGTTAACATGTTGGTCTATCACTGTTGTTAAATTGGTTACATTTGGTTGTTAATTACAATGATAAAACGTGGTTAAAATTGAAATAATGTCAATATTACCAATCAGTCACTCCAATTATACAAATTGTCCTCAGAAAACCGTTAAACAGATAAAGATACGATCCACCCCTATTATATTCGGTCACTGCAGCCACGCGATGAGTTGAACTGCTCTCCGCTCAGTTAGCGAACGTAGAAATAGTAGAGATATGAAAATTATTGTATTTTCAGAGAGAACCAGTCTTCATATCCAACTGCGTTAACATGTTGGTATATCTCTATTGTTAAATTGGTTTCATTTGGCAGTTGATCACAATAATAAAACGTGGTTAAAATTTGAAATACTGTCGATATTGCCAATCAGTCACTCCAATTATACAAATTGTCCTCAGAAAACCGTTAAACAGATAAAGATACGATCCACCCCTATTATACTCGGTCACTGCAGCCACGCGATGAGTTGAACTGCTCTCCGCTCAGTTAGCGAACGTAGAAATAGTAGAGATATGAATATTATTGACCCGAAACAAAATTGTAGCAATCTCCCGCGATCGATAGAGTCTGTTTTCCCTCAAAGCGCAATAGATGGAGATCAGTTTTCTAGTAGTTATGCATTCATGTGACTTATTTCATATCTTCTCAGAATTATATTGATTAACCTAAAGCCCATTTGATTGATAAGTAAAGTTCCCTGAAGGTATAAACCACTCATTACAGGTGTTACGAGTTCTTGCATTGATATTCTACACGTGCTCTGCGTACATTGGTTAATTTATGGGCACCAAGTCCCCTTCTTGAAATACTTCTAAATTTCATGCGTTCTGCAACATTTGCTCTTTAAATAAGAAGGACAAAATGTAATGTAAAATGAATACTAGGTAATTGACCGTGCCACATTTGCAAATGTGTATAAAAAGGGGTCAAGTGGTTGAGATCTGTCCTTTGGTCATGATAAAAAGGTTGCCCGAAGTTGACCCTCAATGAATGAACTATGTAGAATGTAGTGGTCTTACTAGTGGATACGTCACCGGACTGTGGATCACATGGTTCGTGGTTCGAGTCCCGCAGTGGCACATTATGTCCTTTACTTAATCTACATTCGCCACTCTCCACCCAGGTGATGTAAATGGGTAGTTATACAGGGTGGGGAAAACAACCATTCGAATGAAGATTGTATGTATTAAAGGTACTATTCCCATTTGCAGGCCAAAAAAAAAGAAACAAGATAATACTAATTTAGAACTTCCCTAAAAAAAAAAGGGGGGGGGGGCTTGAAAATCTGTTTCAGTGGGATAACAACGAATATTAGTTGTCGAATCGACTTATGAGATATAGAGCCAGTAAGTAATAGTCTGATTTTCAGACCATTGTACAGAATGGTTGTACGTTTTATGCTGCGCAAAGATTCAATCAGTTTAATTTCGGCCATTACAAGAAGTAGGTTATTGATCTAGACAAATGCTCATTAGTGGGGGCTGTAAGGGCTAAAGGTTTTTTTTTTGATGCAGATTATTCTAAAAGCACCAAATTTGGCCCAGAGGTAGATTATACCATACTTTTACGATTTTTGCCGGCCGCCAAGAAGTGCGTCCTCTGGGTATGCCATATTGGGCGAATCCAAAATGGTCGCCATCTGAGTTAAAGGTCAAGCATAGTTTTAAAAGGAAAAGCGCTTGTATGATAATAGTTTATATATTTATGGGGTTTGGGGTTTCAGAGAATCTGATTATGATGTTCTTTCTTCTTGGGGCTGCCATACTGGTCATATTGGTCAAATCCAAAATGGCCGCCATCTGATAGTTACAGGTCAAGTGTAGTTACGAAAGGAAATAGGCTAGTATGATAAAAAAAATATATATATATATATTTATGGGATTTCCTGGGCCAGAGAATCTGATTATGATATTATTCATTGATTTCAGATCTTCTCGGGTCATACTGGTAATATTGGTCAAATCTAAAATGGCTGTTTTGGAAAAATAATATGTAATATTTTATTTAATCTATTCCAAATAGAAATACAAATAGACCAGAAGATAATAGTTGTTGGTAAGGATATTGGAAACAAGAAATATTCACTTCTGAATATTATTTTAAATTATGCGCAATACGCAATTTATAAATGTTACGCTAAGAAGATTGTTAATGGTTCTGTTTACTACCCACATACTTTGTGTTTTTTTAATTCAAGTCGTTCCTAAGATTATTTTAAAGATATGAAGGTGTTAGCAAAGAAAATAATACTAAGTTGGAAGAATTGTTGAATGTACTTTAATCTTTAGCCTAAGTTATCACTCAATCATTGAGTTATTAATGTACAAATGTATTACTATTATGGAAATAAAAACCTCGCTGGAAGATAAAAGAAAAAAGATTATAAACCTTTAGTTCAGTCAGAAATCACATGACGTGTGCAAGAGTGTTCGACGCCCCCCCCCCCCCCCTCCCCCAAATATTGGCCAGCATGACAGCCCCAAGGAGACCTGTAATTGATACAAGCAACATCATAATCAGATTCTCTGACCCCGAAAACCCCCTTACTAAATAAACTGTTATCATACTATGTTCAAACTATACACTTGACCTGTAACAGGTGGCAACCATTTTGGATTTGATAATATGACCGGCATGACAGCCCCAAGTAGACCTCAAATTGGTAAAAGAACATGATAATCAGATTTTCTGACCCCGAAAACCATATACTGTTATCATTCTAGCTCATTTCCTTTAGAAACTACACATGACCTGTATAACTATCAGATGGCGGCCATTTTGGATTTGACCAATATGGCAGCCCCAAGGAGACCTCAAATATATGAAATAACATCATAATCAGATTCTCTGACCCCCCCCCCCCAAACCCCATTAACATATAAACTTTTATCATAATAGCCCATTGCCTTTCATACATTGATGGGAAAGCCATACAACAGGTGGCTGAATGCAAATACTTAGGAGTTGTAATTGATAACAAACTGAAGTGGGATAGTAATTCCTAGGTAGTAAACATGGGCAACCAGCGTATGTATTTTCTAAGACAGATTAAAGCATTACATGGGAAAAGTGAAACAATGTTCCTGTTCTACCAATGTGTCATATAGTCAGTCATCTGTTTCTGCTGTCGAGCCTGGTTTAACAGCCTCAGTGGGGAAAACAGAGCAAAGTTGAATAGGATAGTGAAACATGCCAGCAGAGTAATTGGGGTCTCTGTGAAAGAGCTGGAAGATGTTGCAGAAAGGGCATTACTGGCTAAGCTGCAATTGATTGTGAAGGATTCTAATCACCCTCTGCATAATGAAATGGTTTTTAATAGATCAGGAAGAATTAGGTTACCTAGAATAAGAACTAATAGTTTCGGCAGGTCCTTTCTCCCAAGTGCAATGAAAGTATTGAACAACAATTTCTGTAGATGAATGACCCTGTACATCCCCGAGTACGATCCCCTATTCTCTCATTCTATCTCTCTCTCTCTCTCTCTCTTTCTGTCTGTCTGTCTGTCTATCTCTCTCTTCAAATCCTGGAAGTACAGGGGGTGAAGATGGGTCGGCTTGTATAAGGTCAAGGGGGAGGGGTTATGATTGGGTGGTCGGCAGTTTGTAAGTGACATGTGGACACATCAATTCAATTCAATTTAACAATATTTTCAATATCTCACACTTCACTTTTCCTCCTTTTCCTTTCTTTCCTCTCTTTCCTTTTCTCCACTTTTCTTTCTTTCTTCTTTCTTCTTCTTTCCTTCTTGTCTCTCTTCTAGCCTCTTCAATCTGACATAAATTTTCTTCTTTCAACTGTACAGTGTATCTACCATCTAAATGTACATGTACTAGCATACAGTTGTATTTGTACTTCTTGGCATGCATAGCAGTGTTTCATATATGTAACAGTACTAAGCACAGGTGCAATATAAATAATGTCTATTACAAAGCAATGTTTTGAATGAAATTGTATATGCATCATCTCACACTGAACTGCTCCTCTCTTCCACTCTCTCTCTCTCTCTCTCTCTCTTTTCCTTTCCCTTCTTCCCTTTCTCTTTCCCTTTCTCTCTCGTTCTCTCTCTTTTCTTTCCTCTTTGCCATCCAGTATGATGTTCATTTTGTTTATGTCTGCTACCCAAAATAAACAGTTTTTATCTGGAATTTTTAACAATTGATGAATAATGGATTTTAGATCTTTGCTGTGACTTGTTCTATTTATTTGTTATATGACATTGATTGTTATCATGTACATTATCTGCTATTTATTTAAGTTAGTATTGTCTGTTAAGAGCCAGGGGAGTACAAATAATCAAATAATTCCCCTGGCTCTCAACAGAAAGGTTAAATTATATTACATTGTTATGTTATTTATGTTATTTGTAGTTACTGTCTATGATATGTTAATGTATTGCTATATTTTATACGAATGTGAGCCGTAAGACGGTTTTTATGCCTTCATTTTATTTTGTGCATGACAATAAAGAAATTCAAATCAATTCATTCAAATTCAAAAAAATAACTACACTTGACCTTTTTTATAAATGTAATGCTTCCTGGGAGAAATGTCAATAGTTTGAACATATTTCAATTACAGATCGATCAATCGATCTTTTTTACTGGGTGTAAGCCACAAATATGTTCAAACTATACACTTGACCTGTAACACAGATGGCGGCCATTTTGGATTTGACCAATATGACCAGTATGGCAGCCCCAAGGAGACCTCAAATCAGTGAAAGAACATTATAATCAGATTCTCTGACCCCCGAAACCTATTAATATATAAACCTTTATTATACAAGCGCTTTCCCTTTTGGAACTACGCTTGACCTTTAACTCAGATGGCGGCTATTGGATCTGCCCAATATGGCAGTCCCAGAGAGCGCCCTTCTTGGCGTCCGGCAGAAATCGTAATAGTATGGTATAATCTACCTCTGGGCCAAATTTGCTGCTTTTAGAAGAATCTGCACCAAAATATCCCCAACAGCCCCCACTATTAGAGGTACTATGTCCCATTTGCAGGCTAAAAAGATGAAAAGGTTTAATTCAAACAGCATTTGAAAGATAATACTAATTTAGAACTTTCCCCCAAGAAAGGGGGCTTGAAAATGTCTTTAAGTGGGAAAATAACGAATATTAGTTGTCGAATCGACTTATGAGCTATAGAGCCAATAAGTAATAGTCTGATTTTCAGACCATTGTACAGAATGGTTGTACGTTTTATGCTGCGCAAAGATTCAATCAGTTAATTTCGGCCATTACAAGAAGTAGGTTATTGATCTAGACAAATGCTCATGTACCCTTTACAGCTCATTTGCCAAAGAAGACAGTCTAGCAAGGGTTTCCTCAGAAATTGAAAGAAAATTGAATTCTCAAACTCATTTTGCGTGATTTGATGCATACTTTCTAGTAATATTTGACTAAAAATCATTGACTAGATTCCAATGTTTCTTTTCCTGAAAGGGGAATATCTTATGTCACTATTACAAAGACTTGGACAAATATTTGCTATACAAGTTTTATTTTTGTAATTATTATGTTAAATGATTCCATGGAGTATCTTGATAACAACAGTTAGGTTTAATATAAGTTACTACATGTATCTGTCTTGTTATTCATTATCACAAACATAACGTTTTAGTACACTGTTTTGGTATATGTTAGGATATTTGTTTCATCACTTTCGTCAAATATTGAGTGTACATCCATTGTGACACTGTGTAAAACAAAACAAAAAAGGTAACTTGTAAATCATGGCTGTAATTTTTAAAATGAAACTATATAAAAATATCATATCAAGTATTAATAGAATGGATGTATGTGAGAAATAAGTGACCATCTAGATATTGAATATTATGATAACTCTAACAAATCTCACAATAATATACAAGGTACGAATCTATCTTTTTTCTTTTAGTCTTCATGGAAAAGGTAATAATGCCATTAAAAGTGTTTCCTCGTGTGTTTTTTTGTTATTAAAGTGCAATTTCGAGAAGAAATTTTGATTGAAATGTTGACACGATCCCTGATGTGTACTCACTTTTGTAAGCGACAATACAGAAAACGTGTGATTTGCTTTGCTATTAATAGCCTTCAAACAACAAAGGGTTCCCATCCAGATGTCTGTATCACCGGGTATTTGGGTGTTTTTTACTATTCAACGTGTGAAGATGTGGGCGGTTATTATATTGGTTGCATATGGTGATATGACGCAAACCCTCAGATAGTCTGGAGGGCTTGGGAGGGGATAACAGGAGGGGTTGGCGGTATCGAGAGGGTGGCTGGAGGGGGTGGTAAGGGGAGGGGTCGATAAGGGGTATAGTGCTTTGGTAAATTACTATTATTAAAAATTAATATTGTATGTTAAGCAAATATTAATCGACTACGAGGGTAATGGTGCAAACTATCATCGCCGAGGTGATGATAGTTTGTATCCATTGCCCGAGTAAAGGAGGTTAATATTTGTTTTATATCCCACATTGGCAATAAGGTCTATTTAAAGTGAATTTTACACAATAATAAGAACTGATTCTGCAGACAGTTTAGCTTCAGCTAGATTTTACAAAGCGCAACATGCATAGATGTGTAATACAGTCGATGCGCGCTCATTTGAAATTGACATTGACTTTGATATTTCGCGTAACCTACTTTGCTATGCGTATTCAATGGGCAAGGGTGGGCAAGTACTATCTCAGGTAGATAGTACTTGTCTATACCTTTTTCGTGCTCTGTACAGTCGCAATGCAAACAACTATACATGAGGGATATAAAAATAAATATGAAACTTTTGCTTTTGAACCCCATGGAAGAACAGGACCATATTCTAAATGGTCCTGAAATGGGCTATCCAAATGTTGGTCTATAAGTAACTTACCTTCTTATTATTTGAAGAAAAAACGATATGTATTTGTTAAAAACTTGCATGTATATATGGATTTCGGAAACAAAATCAAACAAACAGCCTTTGACTCTGTTACAAATTCAGCATCAATAAACATGAAATGATCTTTGTGATTATTCTCAACAGACTGGAACGATGGATCATTATTAAATGGATTAAAGATGGTGAGTTACTAACTTTGCGATGGTGATATAAAGAGCAATTATGTTATGAAAAAAAAAGTTATATAGGAATAAAACGCCATCTTTACCATTATTTCATGTTTGCCTTCTTTTTTTTTTTGTTCGGGAAGAAGGAAGGGAAATGTATGAATTAAACCGCTCAGTTAACCTTTATTAAAATAATTGTGTTGGTTTTTACATATTATCATAAAGCAGTCTTGAAAAATTAAAACTCCAAAATTTGGGACTGAAATTCAAATCGCAAAGGCTTTAAATGTAATATTAAAGTTAACTTTTCTATTGTTTTATTGACCTTTAATGACCTTCAATGAACTCGAATAAACTTTCCGATTCTTTTTGCCAAGCTTTCTTTAAAATATCACTTCCGGTTTATTTTTCAAAATATTTTCATAGATTTGGTATCACAGGATAAAGCAATGGCCATGCTTTCCATTTTTGGCATGCTGCCCTCTCTAGGCTAGTCTATATAGGCACAGGTAAAATGCATTGCCTCAATCTTCACTGGATGTTAGTGTGTATATTTGAATGCGTGAAATGTGCCTTTTGTATTTCTTTGCTTTTATCAATTCATGATTTTCAGGAAAATGCCTTTACTTTTTAAAGGATAATTTGTGAACAATCGGTCTGATTGAGATGATTTTTGTGTGCTAATTGATGAATGTTTTATCTCTTGAACAAGATGTGAAGATGGGATAACTACGATTATTTTCTCAGTAATTGATTCATGAATACGTAATTAGGTCTTGCATGCCTTTGGCTATTAAACAAATTATTACAAATAAAGAAAGATAAAAAACTTCTTGAAAAAATAACTCATGCATTTTAGTATTAACACTTACACATACACACCAAAAATCATCAAAATTCAGTGATTGGTAAGAGAAGTAGGCTTAATCAAATTATTTCTCATGTATTTCATTATGATGTCAGATAACATGTTTCAATTTGTTTTGTACTGGTGCTTATATTATTCCTGATCTACTACCCTTCGCAATGTAGGCCGATATACTTTTAATGGTCTACAACCAAGATTTAGAGAGTTACATTCAGAAAACTAGAGTTCCGTCATTTTATTGGAGGAAATCCCTACTCGGACCCTTTTCACGGTCAACACCAAAATTATTGCCAACACCATCGATTGAAAGGCCACGACCAACGAAAGGAAGCTGTGAAACTCATTATCGACCTTATTTGAGGAGCAATACTGAATAAAAGTGAACACTGAAATGACTTGGTTAATATTTGAGTCAGAGAAAAAGAAAGAGCGCCATCATTGATTGATAATTCGAACAACAGAAAAGCCAAGCGACAATAAACTTTTGAGATTGGACAGACTTAAAGATGAAGTTGAGTTCTGGTCATGCGATTGCATTGTGAAAGAAACGGTGTGGAACCGACCAGAAAAGGTTGATCATCTAGCATATAAGAATTTGTGTGTATTGCAAGGTTCTGGAATCATCAAAATGATAAGAAATTTGGCCAAGTCTTAGTAAAGTTACAAACACTGTACACAGAAAGACGTATATGGGACTACACGAACACGTGGCGTAAAAAGCCGCCCCCCCCCCGATTTTTACAATGTTACATTCATATTTAGAATATGAAGGCATTTGAAGAGCCATGCTTTTTAGGGAACATGTCTTATCTGATGTTCTTCCACACTTGCATAATAAGAATGAGTAATGCTCACAACTTATTTTTCATCTCTTCCCAGAACTCAACCTTCTCTTTAAAACAACAATACCAAGTTTTACGACGTCGGGCCACCGTTAAAAAATACGACCTACACTGTAGCTCATAAAGTTGGAATATTTTTGTTTTACCCCAATTTATGGAATTATTCTAAAAATAATTTAAAAATAATAGATTTAGATGATAGTATACTGTCATTCTCAGATTTTATTGAATAATAATTTGACAATGTATACTACTATCTAGATCTATTATTTTAAATTATTTTTAAAATAATTCCATGAATTGGGGTAAAACAAAAAAATATTCCAACTTTATGAGCGACAGTGTATAATTAACCACGTCAAAAGTCCCATATAGATCAATACATCAACTTAAACTGCCCTAGAAATTAACAGAGTCCAACAGCAAGCATATAGGCCTAAACGAACATCTGGTACGGCGAATTCACTGTACCTACCTTATGCATATTCATGATTAATTTGCATGTTTTCAGATACAATTTTGTATCATGAGCAGTCAAGCAAATGTGACATCGCACATCATTTCCGGGACATTTGTTTTAGTCAATCACTGTGTATTGATGGATAAGTTTTTTTATTTTTTAAACTCATTCATGATATTATCATAAATCTACCAAATATGTCTCTTAGCTTTAATATGTTGTAGCTGAGACCTTACTCTCCAAATGGAACATCATACTTTTTTTATTTATCCGAGAATGAATGGTGGTGAGAAATTCGTGATTTTAAAATCTATCTTTATGGTTTATACTTGAACGTGTGATATGAACGGAGGGTGGGATTTTTTTCTCATTGACTCTGTGTTATCATGTGATCGGCCGCGTAGTGTAGCAAATCTCTTAATGAGCTTGCAAGTAGGCGTGTTATATGAGTGGAGTTTGGGATTTAAAAACAGACCAAGAAGTTACACTGAGCTTGTACATGTGTGGATCAAAGATCACTTAATTGGTCTCCATGACGTATTCAATGTCTACATTATCGTCACGCCTCTTCCATCCCTACTCTGGGACCTGTTTAATAAAACTTGATATCAATAACAAGTTGCAAGCTACTGTTATAAGCTACTGAAACCATGGTTTGTGATTGGCTAAGAGCAAATTTGTCACAGAAATTTATCAGTTGTCATAGATAAAAAAAAAATTATGAAACGGGCCCCTGATGTCTCCGATATTTTATAATTTTGTAGCTGAGACTTTACTCTACAAACTTACTACGATAAAATGTTTGATCAGAAGTCGAGGTCGTCGTTAGAATTCCGATTGAAGATGAAAACTACAAAACCTACCATTATGGTTTCTACTTGTACGTGCTATCTCCCATCGAGTTTATGTAATATTCCCATCACGAATACAGGTTTATATTCTTAGTCAAGGACATGTGCCATTAGCTATGTATTACTCAAATCACATGTTTACATATTCTAGCTTTTGTTAGTTACATTTTGAATAGCGACATGAGTTGTTCAAGTCCAGACTAACTTTATCTTCCAGTATCATGGTATGAGTGAGTGTGGACGCATCGTGTGTACAGTGTGTTACACCGGGCATGGTGGATCAGTGGTTAGAGCGCCCGCCTCATGAACGGGAGGTCGTGGGTTCGAACCCCGGCCGAGTCACACCAAAGACTTATAACAATGGGACCTTCTGCCTTCTAGCTAGGCGCTCAGCATATAAGATTGGAGAAGGGTAGTAGTAACATATTATGTTATGCAGGGCCCGCTGGAAGAGCAGTTTCATAACTGACTGAAGTGGCTACCCTGGGTAAATAAAACGTTATTATTATTATTATTATTATTATTATTATTATTATTATTATTATTATTATTATTATTATTATTATATGGCTGTGTGAGCAGTTACTGTATAAACCCTAAAACTCTGTTAGTAGGGACTTTTAGATTGAGTGGACGAGAACACGACGGAAGCCGACTAATCATGCCTGTCAACGTACTTAACTGCCCATGTTGACTACAATTAGAAATCTTTTAGATTGCACTGGACGATATACATGCATGCAAGAAGTAACACTATGAACATCACGGACAAAGAAAGAGGACAAAATATACAGTTCCTCATTCTACCCTCAACAAAAGAACATCCCTTCACTGCTATTATGTAAAAATGTGTAGAACAGGTGAATATGCATGTGACACCTGTTCTACACATTTTTACATAATAGCGGGGAAGGGATGTTCCTTTGTCTACCTGAGGAACTGTATATTTTATGCGCACGCGGCATATTAGTACCTTGAGCATGTAAAGGCGCTATATAAATACCAATATGTATGTATGTATGTACTAGATTTAGGAAAATCAAGGTTGACGCATTCTCGATCGCCGACTGAGACGACGTAACGCATGCGCAGTGCCTTAAAATGACGTCACACGTTCCAGTCAAAGCTAACGACGTGCAAATCTAAAAGTCCCTAGTGTGGAAAGAGTGCACGGCAAGCACGTCTCTTGTCATTAATGGCTGCAAAGTTATTTGTGACAAGAAATTATTGTACGTGACGGACGATAGACGTACGGGCAAGTGGACGGATGAGCTAATTATGCAACCGATACTTCACAGCCAAACTGGGGTCAAATCATACATCTATTCATCTGAGCTATGTCATGAAGTATATATATTCCCTTCATTGTTAATGTGCAAGCTGCCTTATTCTCATCATGTTGCGTACATTATTCCAAGTGCAGCCAAATTTGTGTCAAGGACGCTTTCCTGGAACAATCATGGTCACAGGTGGGCGAGACACAATCCGGCAATTGCCTTGTTTCGATTATGTTCAATTCAATTAACTTCAAAGCGTGTATGCTTTCTGTTTGTATGTAAACAAGACAAAATTAAGCCTGCCTTAAATCATCCTGTTTAAACATGTTGCACGCGAGCGAATAACCTTTTGTTTTCTTGAAATCGACGTTATTTCTTCAGTATTTTTGGATAAAACCTTTTTTAATTGTATGTCTTGTGGCACGCCGGTAAAAATATGTTGAATTAAATGATTAGATTTGAGGTTGCAGATTGACCAGGCCGGGAAGGAATATCCTCCTTGCCCGTTTATAGTGGGAAAATGTTGCATTTTTAAGAGAGAGAGAGAGAGACACACAAATAATACTTATTATGTCATTTTCCCTGTATATTTTTTGTCTTTACTCCATTTCTTGTTCTTTTCTGCCGTGCACCATATCAAGGACGCAGGTCTGACAAATCATAATTGTAAATAACTTTTCATCCAAAGCTACCATGTGTACCTCAGTGACACATATTTCTTGCTGTCATGCCAGTAACAGCAGCCAAATTGGAGAGACCAGTAGCAACAATATTACAAAACTATCTTGCATAAAGCTACATGATCTTTTCTTTAATAAATAGAAATCCATACCTCGAAAATACACTTAATCTTCACAACTTCGTACTGTACAAGAACCTCTCAAATCTTGCTATATAAGGTATTTATTGGTACTTTTGGACACCATCCTGTATCTCTTGGGTTTTCTTTTGGCCGTACCACGTTTTAAACAGATTAAATCCCGATTTATGGCTAATTTCAGGTTCCGGCAAAAAGGGCGACCATCTTTAATATAGTTATGAATATAAGGCTACCCTAAACTGTTATGATCATTCAACGCATACCAGTAAATATCCAAAGTCTAAATGTTGCTAATTATAGCTTTATAAGAGTAGAAGGAAGAAACAAAGAATAACATTATGGAAAGACGAAAAGAGACATTATAAAGAATAGGTAATGGAAAGATAGAAGAGAAGATGAAAGATGGACAAACAAAGAATAACATAAGGAATGGTAGGAAGAAAATGATAGACGATAAACACAAATAATAACATAAGAGAAGGTGATTGAAGGAAGAAACAAAGATTAACATCAGAGAAGGTGACAGAACGAAGGGTCAAAGAATAACATAAGGCAAGACAAAAAGAGAAGGTGATAGAAGGAAGAAACAAAAAATAACAAAAGGAAAGACAGAAATATAAAGTGATAGAATGATAAACATAAAGAATTACATACATTTTAAAGAAGGTGATAGAAGGAAGAAACAAAGAATAATAAAAAGACAGAATATTATAAGATTTGTTTTATTTTAAATAATAACACAAGGAAAGACAGAAAGAGAAATTATAAACAATAGATAAAGGAAAGATAGAAGAGAAGATGAAAGATGAAAAAAAAAGAATAACATAAGGAATGGTAGGAAGAAAACGATAGAACGACAAAAACAACGAATAACATAAGAGAAGGTGATAGAAGGAGGAAACAAAGAATAACATAAGAGAAGGTGATAGAAGGAAGAAAAAAAGAAATCATGAGGAAAGACATAGAGAGAAGGTGACAGAAGAAAGAAACAAGGAATAAGATAAGGAAAGACAGAAAGAGAAAGCGATAGAAGGAAGAAACAAAGAATAACATATAGGAAAGACTAAGATAAGCGTGTCCCGATTTATGGCTAATTTCAGGTTCCGGCAAATATGGCGACCATCTTTAAAATAGTTATGAATATTAGGCTACCCTCAACCGTTATGAGCATTCAAATGTTGCTAATTATAAGTTTACTAGAATAGAAGGAAGAAACAAAGAATAACATATGGAAAAACAGAAAGAGAAAATGATAAAGAATAGATAATGGAAAGATAGAAGAGGAGATGAAAGATGGAAAACAAAGAATAACATAAGATAAGGTGATAGAAGGAAGAAACAAAGAATAACATAAGATAAGGTGATAGAAGGAAGAAACAAAGAATAACATAAGAGAAGGTGATAAAAGGAAGAAACAAAGAATAAGATAAGGAAAGACAGAAAGAGAAGGTGATAGAAGGAAGAAACAACGAATAACATAAGGACAGACAGAAAGAGAAAGTGATAGAAGGAAGAAACAAAGAATAATAAAAACAATGAATATAATAACAATAGAAGGAAGAAACAAAGAATAACATATAGGAAAGACAGACAAATATTTACTTGGGACTTTTCGTACCTATTAATCATGTGGTGGGTGATTTCGTATTTCTTATCTGAGTAATTCTTGTAATTGGTCTTAAATGAATCAGCCCTTTATTTTTAGCTCCGGGTCCTTGACCATCACGTGCTGCTTGTTGACCATGTGTCCGAGTTAACAACAATGGTTGGCATGGGAGCCGCCTGGCATGAGCCCACCGACATTTCCATGCATACCTTTGTGTACTCGTCCTCCGAGCAGCAGCAGTGCAGCTGCCCTCCCAATAACTTTTTTTACTTAGAATATATCATATGCAACGCAAAGGGGTATTGTGTTTATTATTTTTTGTAATGATTTTTTATTATTATTTTATTATTATTATTATTTGTACTGACAGCACCCTCCTACACGTTCCTCGAACATACACCAAAGCTGGCGACAATGCTTTCCATGCATGTGCTCCTCGACTCTGGAATGAGCTTCCACGTTTTATCCGATTAGCACCTTCGCTGGATGTCTTCCGAAAATGTCTTAAAACTCTCCTCTTTGACCATGATCAACAATAGATTCTTTGATAACTTTTATGTAAAGCGCTGTGAAACAACAGTTAGATTGTAAGAGCGCTATAGAAATAACTTTATTGTATTGTATTCTATTGTATTGTAATGATATATTTATGCAGATTTCATGACCATGCTTTTTTAATAAAAACACACACAAATGTTATACATTCCTCGATAATAAATGTAGCGGCATTATTTCTAACTATTTGTTACGTTTTCTGGATTCCCTGGCTATTTAATGTATTCTCTGGCTATGTTGTATTTATCTGTGGTGAGTTTTTCTATTTCCTGCTTACTTTTTCATGCACATGTATTGATTTTTTAAATTATATTTATATCTGTTTCTTGCATATATATGTGATCAGGCACCCTCCCCCCTAAAACATTAAAATAAAAAATAAAAAATAGCCCCTTTGTCTGATTTTCAATTAAAGCTCAATAAGGGTGTATTGGTCAGTTTGATCAAATTTCAGATTTTAGTATTTCAAATTCAAATAATTCTTTAATTTTCATGCAAAACATAATGCAATGAATAGGTTTATTTAGAAAATAGAAAATTAAAACAGACACAAATAAGTAATGGCACGAGAAAACAGGAACTAGAAGCTGAGCTTGATGAAGTATTAGTTCCACAGAGGCTGTTTAACAATACGTCCTAAAAACAAAGTATACATAGAAACAAGTTTTAAAAAAGAGGAAATAATGGGGGAAAATAGAAGAAGGAACAAATAAACAAAGATAGAAGAGGAATGATTCAAATCTCTGAGTATACTTTATTCAATTTAATTTCAAATTTTGTAATAGCCTAACAATTTATAAGAAAGGTTTCAGGCCGTTGTTTGTGTGATTGATTTTTTAAAATTATTTTATTATTTTTTATTTATTATTATTATCATTTTTTTTTTTTTTTTTTGTGTTTTTTTTGTGTTTTTTTTTGTGTTTTTTTTTTTTTTTGGGGGGGGGGGGGTATTGGTAGTAGGTGTAATATTTTGAGACGCTTTAACTTTGAATCTGAGTGAGCTTTTGTATTAATACCTAGACAAAGTAAATAAGACAATGTATAATAATAATAATAATAGCTCACATTTATAATGCGCCTAATACTACGTTTCTAGGCGCGGAACATATTATTAGTATGTAGTTGTGTGCCAAGTTTTAGGACAATCTGATGATACCTTCACATGAATTTATATAGAGGTCTAAACCCTCTTTTGGCACATTGCACAATACCTTGAGGGTAACTAATACCTTGTCTAATCATGGACCTATTACGGATGGACATTCAACGTGTTTCTTTCTTTGATCCAATGATAGTCGCCACCTTCTGATTATGTGCATCTTAATGAGAACATTCAGCTGTTTAACAATAACGACCGCGTAAGCATTTTCGGTCATTGACAAAGGAGCAGTTTCACTCTCTTGGGTTTGTTTGGATGGTGTGCTCTGTAAGAGTGTGTCTTAAATAAAAGCATCATCAATGAGGAGCAGCAAAGTTGACAAGCAGACGATTTCGGTGATAGGAAATGTATTATTACTGATTCGCAAACTTTCGCACACACCTATGACCTTATAAAACAATTAGAAGGCCATGATCTATATCAGCCCTGTGCGTTGTAACTCTGGATTATTATGAGGAAATAGGGGGGAAAAGGATTTTAAATCACAACCAAAAAATCCAAAAATAACCTCTATCTGGTAATATCAACATGTTTTTTCAAAATAAAATACATGAACAGTAAACGGAACAACAATGTCCAATTATAAGCCAGAACTGCACATCTATTTTCCATGATTTAGGCGAGATATTACCTTCTGCGCATGTAGATTAACATGTGTAAAATCACTATCTTGATTCTGTCCCGGCTTTTTGGCGGTGACCATCATGAGATCAAAGTGAAGAAACATGTAGGGAATGTTATTGAGACGACATTGACGGAGACAATCACAATGAATTCGTTAAGAAAACTATGAATGTCCATCTGTAATAGGTCCATGGTCTAATGATCAAATACGCACAATTGTGCTGCCAAGGGTGACTGAGCAGTAAGCTTTTCAAAAGGTTTTGTCAAAATCCTCTTGTACCAAGATTGGGCTGAATCACTGAATATAAAGCCATTATGTATGTGTGAACTCCAAATACCATTAGGGACTTTTAGATTTACACGACGAGAGCGTGGACTGCCGTGTGTGACATTGTGTTAAGGCACTGGGCCGTGTCTGGCAATACCTTAAAAGGACGTCACAATAACCTTAAAATGATGTCACGCGTGGCGGTCCACGTTCTCGTCGTGTAAATCTAAAAGTCCCTATCACTTATTAACATTGACTTGTACAGGTAGACACTTGAAAAAGAAAAGGTGAGAAGGAAAAAAAGGAGAGAAAAACTCAAACTCAAGGAAATGCCTATTCTGGTAGTTAGGACCATTCCCTAGGACAAATGGGACTAGACTTGAAAGATACAGAATATTCCGTCTTCTTTGAAGCAATCGAAATCGGGGTGAGAGGTCAGATATAGACTCAAGGCTCACTATGAACATGACGGACAAAGAAAGAGGACAAAATATACAGTTCCTCAGGTAGACAAAGGAACATCCCTTCACTGCTATTATGTAAACATGTGTAGAACAGGTGTCACATGCATATTCACCTGTTCCACACATTTTTACATAATAGCAGTGAAGGGATGTTCCTTTGTCTACCACAGCAATTGTTGAGGATAGAATGAGGAACTGTATATTTTGTCCTCTTTCTTTGTCCGTCATGTTCATAGTGGCTATTGGTGATATTTGTAAACGTGACGTCAGATGCAGGGTCATAATCGATGACATGAGTAAGCATACTACTCTCCTGTGTATCTTGCGTTAATGTTTATGGTTGGGAGGATCAGCGTTGGGAAATAGCACAACACCTAAATAATAGTAGAATAAGAACATAGACAAAATACACACTCACAAGGTTGTGATTATTGCAATAATTGAATTTGAAAAGGAGAAATTGTTACATCACCCATTATATACTTTGGCATGATTAACCTGCTTTTAGTCTATTTTATGGTCTATTCTTTATTTTATCTTGCATTCTACCTTAATATGTTCTGTTTTGTATTGTACTTACAGATAACTTACATCAGATAACAAATATTCCATCAAAAGCAGGCTCTTCAAATGCCTTAATATTCTAAATATGGCATGTAACAGCATGCAAATCGGGCGGGTTTTTATGCCAAATTTTCGTGTAGTCCCATATGCATATTTCAGCCGATGGCTGAATTGCTCTCAATATATTTCAGAATGTGCAGCATTCGACGAAACTTTGGAGATCAATCGAAAACGGATTGTATATTATTCGTCAATCAGCTGTCGACCTTTTCCCAACCAAATATCGCCCGTAAGACCCGTCGGTGATCAGTCGCCAATCAGTCTGAAAACTGTCGCCATCCGTTCGAAAACCAAGAAAAATCTTTCTAAGACCAGTTTCGTTTTGTTTAGGTTTTCGATGCTGCAGTGTAAACCTCTAGCAAAGCAAAACGCTCCGGAGACCTGCAATCACCTAACACTCATAACATTTTAAAACTGTCAAAAATATCTTAGCGACCTCTGAAAACTAACTCCTAACCAGAGGTTGTCGGGAGCCTCTCCGACAGGTCGTAACTGTAATGTGACTTAGTCTTTATAGGCCGTGGGCCGAGCGCGATTTTAGGGCTTAGTTTTCTTTTTTTTTGGACTGACTTTGTGGTACATAGTTTTTGGTAACCAGAAATAAGGATAAAAATACACAAATCCCAAATCAGCTTTTTCCCGCGACTGAATCCTTGTCGCTCGTATAAAACATAAGTTTAATTGACAAGTTATTTAAGAGAAATATGCGTGAACGAGACCGCCAACTCTCCGTTCGTTCACGTGTATAAACGCACCGTGCGACGAGAGTGAAACAGCACATTCTCTGTCTCCGTCGTACGAAGAAATTATGTAATCCATTCGAATATTTCCCAAAGCTAATCACATTTGCTGATGTAAATAATATGATTTTGCAAATATGAACTGCGAAAACTAATGAAAACCTCGTCAGGGTGAAAATATTTCGTAAATGGGCGGTCATAGGCAGCTACCATGAAACAGACGAGAAATAGCGCGTTGCCAATTTGATATTATTGTAAGGATCGTATGCAATTCTCTTGAATGTTGGACGTACAGGGTTGTAGCCCTGCTTTTGATACTTTTAGCAAGCATTATGTTGTATGATATTGGAATTGCTCCAGACAATAGCCATCCCCCGGACAATAGCCATCCATCGGTCGACGGACAGGGCAGAGTGCTTCGTTATACGAGCAATGAACTTTTCGGGTTCCGTAAAATCGTATACCTCGGGATCATGGTTCAAGTTATTTTTTTGTCGACGGGGGCTCTCCCCCCCCCCCCCTCCCCCCCCCCAAAAAAACACCCTGTGAGCCTTCTCACGGGGGCTCCTTTAGTACTCATGGGGGCTCTTTATTAATACAAATTTCCATTGAATTTGTACCCATTAATGCCCCGATACTCCTAAATTCTTTGCTATTCCATCATTGTCATTTATTTAAGTCGGCATTTTCCCTCTTACAAATTTACAAGTAACATAGGGGTCACTATCTCCATTTCGTCCCGTTCTGCACATTATTTACTTCATCATTCAGAGCAACCTTATTTACTTACAGTCTTTACAATATC